TTCCTTCCTTCCCATCTCCGTCCCATCTCCGTCCAACACTCCGTATCGCTCCCTCGCGGCAAGTGCAACTAAACGAGAACCCAAGCATCGGAGATGCTTTTGGGAAAAGTCATTCGGAAAAACCATCCCCAGTTGCCACATGTTCCCACAATGTTCATCCTCTTCAGGTCCACAAAATACTGCGAGAACATCTCGAGGTGTTGGTTTCAAACATTTTTCCATAGTTGTGAGGCGACTTGCAGAAATTCATCGTATTTTCTCAACTTCTCAACCAGTTGACATCTTAATGTAATCGAATGACATCCCCTTGTTCGGCAGCATTCTCGGAAGATATTCGTATGTAACACGCTTCCAGGGCCCCAGGCTGGCCACCAACTCGAAGAGGCTGGAACTGCAAAAGAACTTTGGCCAAAATATGTCAGCATATTTTGCTTGCAAGGCATGAATGGCATGAAACAATCCAGAGGATTTCTTCGGAAGGCAAGCTCATCAACCATAGTCGGGTTCCAAAAGTTTTAGATCTCTTTATCTTTAGCCTTCTCTTCTTTGCATATAGTGTGCGGTCATTGCCCCTTTGCTTACGTTTTCAAATTTCCAAAACCGAGCAGACTGAGCAAATCATCCTCTTTTTGTGTGCTTTGAATTTGTCTTGACGACTTTCCGTGTCAGGGGTATTTTGTTTAGTTTAAAGTCTATAGTTTTGTTCGGTCATAGTTTCCACAAAGGAACACTGTTGCGAAACCTCACCTTTCCTAAGGGGGCACTGGCTCAGGTATTCTGCGCTGCTACGACGCAATATGACGCAATGCTAATTCACACTGAGCTCCCAAACCTTGCCTTGTCGGAGTCAATCTGTTTCCCCTTCCTTGGTGCTGTTCGATTCAGAATTTTCACTGCCAAATAGGGATCTAAATATTTCCACTATAATCCTTCCATTTCATGCTTGCCCTGGGATCTTTCCTATCTTTCCGTTCATGGACCATGGACGTGCAATCTTTCCCTCTGATTTCCAACTCCCCATCTCATCCAGCGGTGTGAGTTCTTCATTTTCGTCAAAGATAAACTCGCATTGTGAAGCGAACTTCTTCGCAGCAGGTGGGACAAACAACAGAATTGGCCCTGCTGACTCGTGCCAGATGATCATAGCATGCTCTGCACACACAGACATGTCCACAAGGAACAAACGCCTCGGATTTCTTTGAATCCCGGCAAATCACGCATTGTGACTCGCTCTGGGTCTGGATCAACTCACCCTTCAAGCGAACAATGTCCTTGGCCAAAACCTCATTCATAGCTGCTTGCTCGTTGATTGTGTTGATCAGCATGTGGGAATTGTGTTCGATTGTAGCGGCAACTTCGATGCTTTTGCTTGCCTGACAGCGTGCCAGTGGAGGTCCAAGACAATCCAACACATATCATTAAGGCATATATGAGTCTCATCGACGCGGTGCATCTTACATTGCTATATTGAAAACACCCTCAGCCAAAAAATCCGATACTAATTGGGCAGGCCCCCCAAACAATAACCACAACAATAACCACCCCTTTGCTCCCCACCTTTACTAAGCAACATGGAGATCCTAGATTGTTGAAGTTTAGTGTAATACTCAGCAAAGCGGGGGGCCTTTGTTTTGTGCAAGCTCTTAGGCCTGAGGTATATGATAAATTATTAGTGTTACACGTGCAACTTCGCTCCGATCCGATCTTCGCTTTCATCTTTGGGGTCTGCGCCTATATACCGTTTACATCTGACCAGCGTCTTGCGTGGCCTTACTACATTTGCACTCTGAAGCGCTGGGCAATTGGCTTGCTGAAAACAATCGCCAGTGGTTGCGGCATGCAACTTTTCGGGCACATAGTTGATGCCTCTCCAAATTTCAGCAATTTCTACGCGGCCTATCAGCAAATCAATTTGCACTCATGGGAAACTTCTGCTTCGCCGAAGTCTCCTGCTTCGCCTTCTCAATCTCTCTGTCTCGTTCTTGAATCTGTCGCCGAAGTTCTCGGCTGGCTGCTTCGCGTGCCAATCTTTCAAGACTGACTGGATCAGGCTGATCCTCATTCTGTGTGCACCACTAGTAATGATCACAAGAATCACGGCAAAGACCATGAAATAGTCATCGGATGTCTTGGAATCTTGAGCTCTCTCCAGTGGAAGCCCACTGAGAAGCAAAAGCAGTGGAAAAAAATCCGCCACCAGAGATTGTGCTTGTTGGAATGCTTCTCCTGCTCAAACTGCTTGATTCAAGGTTCGATCATCGGTTTCCAAGTCTTCCTCCAAAATCTCATACTTCGCCGGAAGTCGCTTCATCTGCGAATGGTGCTTTTCTTCGTTCTCAACCTGAAAAATGCCAATAGTGAGGATGGTCATCAGCTGTCGTGAGAGCATTGGTTTTGTCAAAGCATCCGCTGCCATGGCTGGAACCAAAATCATCCATCTGATCCGTCCAGAGAGTCTGGATTCACGCAAACTCAGGATGTAGATCCGTTGGGCTTTGTCTTGGGGCAATGCCTTGCTTTCCGTCACCAACTGGAAAACATCATTGCCATAGCCATTGTCATCCACAGGCAATTGAGGATTGCCTGCTTCCTGAATTGCACCGAACTGTTGCAACGTCTGCGCAGCACTCGCTGATACGAACCCTCACCAAAAGTTGCAGCAAGTGTTTCTGCATGGCTTGAATAACAAAACCTTTCCGCTTTCGCTCCATGGCTTCACACAATGTGAGCCTTGCCACCATGCTTCTTCGCAAACTCATCATCGCATTCCGTCTCATATTCACCTGGTTGCGGAGCCATCTTCATGTCTTCCATCAGCATGATGAGGACGCCTTCATGAGCACAGGCCTTGTCCTTCGTAAGGGAGCTTGAGCCATATGAGCAAGCCAAACGTAGGCCTCGTTCTAGTCGCAGCTTGCGGTCTTTATAGTCCTTGTTCTGAGATCGGTGAAGGACTTGGTTCGCTCGAAGATGTTTGATCTCGGCCACTATACTATGATGTATGATGCCAAGCGCCATACATCAGCAGCCAAATCAAATCTAATCGCCGTTAACCAGAGAACAGCACCCAAAAGTGCCTCTTCGCTGTTGAGCTTGTCATCGTCTTTCCTGCCATCAGCAATCTTTGCTGGTTTGACCCTGCCACAAAATTCACTTTGAACCATGCGTTGTCCATCAGGGATACACTCATAGGTGGCCCCGCAGTGGTCGAAGGGCAACTGCTGTCTTGAGAGAACTTGTTGACAAAGGCATTGTAGCGCTCATCGAGCCATTTCTGAGGTCCAGCAATTGCCATGTCCTCAACGTGCACAGGCGGCCAAAATGGTGCCATCTGGTTTCCGCCATCGCCACTTGTTCTCATCCATGATGCTTGAGACATTCTGCCAAGCACAGCTGCCAGGCCAAAGGTGCATCATTCAGTCCATGTTGAGATGGGTCGTTTAACTTGAACTCATCAGACATGTTGGCCAAATGTCGCCAAACGTTCATGGGCGGTATGATGATGACCGTCCTTGATGGGCTGTGAATGCCCCTGTCCAGCAGCATCTTTTGAACTTGCTTTTAAGAGTTCAGACCCTTCAAAAGCGCACCAGCATTGTCCCACGATTCGACTGTAAAATCAAATGCTGCTGCAGTTGAGAGCAAAAATCTTTGAGACGAACGTGTGGCAGTTGTTGAGCGAGTCGTGAGCAAATCTTTCCTGACGATCCAAACAGCCTCTCGCACACAAGCAAATTTCACCTTCCGCCCACCATTGCTGAGCTTCATGTGCGCATCCATTTGGCATCAATGATGATGGCATCTTCACTAAAGGATTCACGATGACACTTCTTGAAAGCACCTTCTTGGCTGGAAGGTGCTCGAGCTCAATCTTGTCAGCTTCTTCCACCTGAGGCCAAACAGAACACGCATCTTCTTCTGAAATGTCATCATGCTCGGTGTCAACCTTCCATCTGATGCGCGTAAGCCCACATGCAAACTGGAATCTGGAATCGAAACTTGCGCCGATGTGAAAGAGATATGCTGTGTTCGGCTGAGCTGGTGCTGCGTTGGTGGAGTTATTGACGACATACTCAGCCACTTCAAAATTGTGTGCCAAAGCTGTCTGGAAGCTCACACTTGTGGGTTCATCTCCGATCCAACATGTAGCGCCTCATAGTACACAGAATGCGTCGCCCGGTGGTCTAGTCTGACCTTCTTCTTCTCCCGGCGGGATGACAACCCGCGTCTCTGGGCCATCTCTTTTGGTCCACGTTGTTCAGCATCATCAGCAGTCTGGTTCTCATCGACAGACATGTCGCCGCTGTTGGAATGAGGTGGATCTTGAAGCATTGGTGCAGCTGGTTGGCTTCGTTTCATCTCAGGCTTGGTGTCCTCCTCTTGGCTGACCACATGGCAAAAAAACATAAATCATGCAGATGTCTTCCATCCCTGAAAACTTCATGATGTCAAACAAGGCATCTTCAGCTGCTGTCAGACGCAAGTTGTCGCTCTGGTTGAGGAAGGTCTGCGGGTGAGGCCGAATGTGCCTGATCGCAACAAGGCATGATCGACCGTGATATTGGTTCACAGCTGTGCCCTCATCAACGTCCAATCTCAAAAGAAGTGCAAGGCCGCGCCATCCAACATCTCCTTGAACTTCAGGATAGAATTGAACTTCTGTTGTTCCAGGCACCAAGTGTCCAACCGATTTGAACCGGTTCGAATTGCTCTGGCTGTTCTGTCGTCCACGGTGGCCTGTTGCACTGCAGAAAGAGACATCTGTCGGATGCAAACTGCACGTTCAAAAACTGTGAGATCGGCCTGCAAGGCTCCAGCTGTGGCCATGATGCCCTTGGGAAGATTTCCAAAACCTGGCATCGCAGGTGTCACCCCACCGTAGTTCAAAGAGGAGTTCTGAGCCATTGCTGCCACCATGCCGATGTCAGCAGCCTCACAGGAAATACCTTGCCCGTCGGGCTCAGCCTTCAACCTCAACATGGTCGATTTTGTCAAGCCGATGTGTCTCTCGACCAGGCCTGTGCCAGTGTCTGTGATGCTGCTGCTTCTCCCTTCGCCCTTTTCTCAATGTTCAAACGTTCGAACTCTGCTCCAGTTTCATGACCAAAGAACCGCGGCCAGCCATGAAGCACATTCTGTTGGAATTCTTCGGCTTCTCCTGGGTCTGCTGCCGCTGCAACTTTGTAGCGACTTGCTTCGTGCAGCATGAGCAAAAACCACTGCATGGCCCCAAATCATGAACAAATCTGCTCGAACACATTGGTTGAAGGTGCCAGCGTTGTGGGGCTTCAGCTGAGGACGATTGGGCAGCCGAACATCTCGTCGACAAATCTGGCACTTCACTGCAGAGCCCACAAGGTCTAAAACGGCAACGGGCATTCCTGCCTTGGCAAGGAGGTTCTTTAGGTCTGCCAGCGGTGCATGCCAGTATTTTGCATGCAGACCTGCCAGCAGCCTTTCTGCTGTTTGTGGCTTGTCCAGGGTAAGTTGTGGAAGCCGTTGGAAAATTTTGCGAAAATCATACAGCGCCTTGAGAGCCGCAATTTCTCATCGTTGGAAGGTCTCTTCTTCCTCATAGCCTGGCCCATCAGCCTTTTCACCATGGGCATCTACAAGTCGCAGTTGGTTTTTAATTTGTGTGCATCATGTGGTTGTAAGGAATCGGGTTGTGGTGGAAATGAATCAGGGTCTTGTGGTACTGAATCAGGTTGTGATGGTTGTGAGTCATTCGGTTGTGAGTCATTCTGTTAGGAAAAAGAATCATGTGGATGTCCCTCTGAATCCGGGTATTGACGTTGTGGAACATGCTGTGAAAGTTCTTTATAATCCTGTGATCGTCGCAGTGTTGATGACGATGATGATGATGATGATGATGATGGACCGCTGGAAATTGGTTGATGCTCTACTGGCGTTCCAGGAACTGGCATTGGTGCTGATGATGACTTCAAAGTTGAACGTGTTTTTGGTGATGGCTTGGCAACTGAATCAGACAGCTTGTCCTCCTCTTCTCCAAAAGCTTTTCCGGAGAGAGTGATCTGCCAGTCTTCTATGCCGGTCTTTGCTTCATTCTGTGAGTGGCTGCATGTCGTCCATGGTCCAGCCTTTCACGTTGCCACGGATCAGGATCCTCAAAGGTGCCGTGTGCTTGGACAGCTGTGGCTCAGGTGATGCTATTCTTGATGAGCAAGGAGGTCATGAACTTCCTTGACGAAAACAAGATTCTTCGAGTTGCTGCATGGCCGAGAAGTCTTCACTATGTTTGGCACAGTCATCTATACAAGTGTCAAGTGCCAATTGGGGCGATCATGCCCACCAGGAGTTGAACATTCACTACTTCCTGGAGAATGTCGCCATGCAGTCTATCCCACCGCAG